TCCAATGTCCCCATCGAAATCCCCAAATGCAATTCTCATTGCAACTCATGCAGTTCACCTGCCAAATTAGCAACTGATGAGTGCGAAGCATTTCGAATGAAGCCGATTTACGGAAGAACTTTCAAGTGGTTTCAAGTCTCTTTCAATTTGATGCTATTATAACAGGAAGCAGACATACGAATAACTTTTATTGATGTGGCAGGTTATATGACAGGTGTGAATACACTGTTCAAGTACACACCAGCCTTTGGCTTAAATATCGAAAAGTCACATTCGGGTGCTTGGGATTATTTTGTCATATGGCCATAACGAACCAAAGTAAATTTATTCTGCATTTTTTGAAGAGTTTTTTTTCTAAAATTTCATTATTTTCTCATACTCTGAAATAATAACAATCTAATAAATAAATAATTTATACTTCGAATGTCAAAGCCCTTAATTACATTATGAAGTTAATGATAGAGTAGGCATAAGCGTCGGTTATCTGTTTGGATAAATGCATGACATATCTTAAAAAATTGGTTTATACATTTTTAATGAAAGTAAATTAAAAGTTAAAAAAAAGTTTTTAAGAGTTAATATGTTTCCCACATTGAATATGAAATATCCCTTTTGAATATGATTGAAGGCAATCTTAGAGCATATGTATATTCCCATGGTTACTGTATACCCTACACAGTGAGTATAGGTTGCGTTTAACTTAATTTTTACAGAACATAAATTCTCACATTCTCAAAGAGAAACATAAGTTAAATGCCCTTTGACAGATATAGTTTGCTGCTCACTGACATCTATCTAATAAAGGCCAACTAGTTCACCCTATAAACTCCCTATAATACAGGGTATGCATTATTTGGCCCCAATTCGGAAAATTCATTTTCTCTGCTGAAATCTCCACGTGGAGCCACTGCTGCAGCAGCAATGTCAATCAGCTTAGCGTCTGCTCGATGGCTGTCAATGGCAATTACGTAAAAGTCAAGTCTTCCACAAATCACAATGTGCTCCACTGAGCTTCACTCTCTCTCTATCTCTCTCTCTCTCTCTCTATCTCTCTCTCTCTCTCTCTCTCTCTCTTTCATGCTCTCAATCTTGCCACCTCTCCTGGAGATTCAGCTGGCTGGGCATGGTTGATGCATGTGCTTCAATTCTGTAAAAGTTCATGTACATCATTTGTCCTGCCGCTAATGGAAATCCCCCTGGCTAACACCCATAGAGCTGCTCCCGCCTGATGTGCATTTGTCAAATAGTTGTGCACAGCTCCAACACCTTTGCACCTGTATCTATGTGTTCGTGCATGTGTGTGTGTATGTGTGTGCGCTTGTACTGGGACATTGGCACGAAATTTTGGCTGACGTTCGATTAGTTGACGCGCTCAGCAGTTGGCAAATACTTTGGCCCCAAAAATGAATGTAGCCATGGCATGTGATGTGGCCAGCAACTGAGCAACTGAGCCAGGTTTGCACTGAAGTAGCACGTTTTATGGCCAGAGCGCCAACTTTATCCTTAGACGACATCGTCAACGTCTGTTTCGAGTCATTCTTTCATCTCGGCGACGTTTTTCACATGTTCAGCTGCAATTTTGTTGCTTGTTTTATGTGCTGCTGCACTCAGAGAAAATTAGGTTGAAATTTCCAATTCTGGAGACTCTAACTGAGACTCAAATTGAGGCTAAAACAGACTGAGGCTAAACTTTCGCAGTCTTTATTTTCTTTCAGTGCGCTTGCCACTCTTAGTTGCAGTTGCTCTTGGCAATTCACCTTGCCTCTCAGTCGGCTCTGCCACATGCTTCAACACCAGCCAAAAGAAAGTGTTGCATCTTTTAGGCGCTTGCGACGAGTTTTAACCTACAAATTTATCATAGAGAGAATATTTTTAAGCTACTCTTCAGCAGACGTGAATGTTTTTCTTTATCATCTGCTTCTTATTTATTTATTTTTATTTATTTATTTATTTTTTTTTTTTTTTGTGTCCTAGCTTAATATGGCAAATGAAAAGCACTTATTTAATTTATTTATTGATGCCGACTCTTGAGTAGCAACAGCTACCGTTGATTCATCTTTAAGTATGCATTCAGCTTAATGGCTCGATAAATTCGTTTGCTTTATAGAAATTTGCTGCAGCGAGTTCTCTGTTGGTTCATTAGCAATGTTTGCAAAACTCTCTTTCAAGTTAAAAATTTCATTATACAATTTTGTATTTATTTTTCTATATATTTCTCTTTTGCTTTTTAACTTTGTGAGCTTCGATGAAGCATTCTAATCAACCTTTTGCTACTGCATATGCAAATTGTATGAGTTAGAGAGTGTGCATGTGTGTGTGTGCCTGCGTGTGTGTGAGCATAATCACTGCACATGAATTAAAAAGTTTTTGGCATGCGAAAATATTTTGCAGTTTAAAGCAATTTGAAGTCATTTGTAGCCAATTTACAAATGTCTGCCGCTCACTCTCTCCGTCTCACTCTCTCTTTGAGTGCGTGTGTGTGTGTATGAGCTTATGTGTATGTGTTCTCAAATGCAATTACGGCTGCATACACATACAAATACATATGGGTTTGGCTTTTGTATGCCAATGCGCTCAGCTTTGCTGTCGTTCAACGTTATCCTATACCCTGTACATAAATAAATCACCCAAAGGGGTGCTCACACTTGCAAGCTAGTTTGTATGATTATTTTATCACTTTATATATATTTATATATATATTGCAGTTCTATATTTATATAGTGAAAATTGCATACATTTTCTATATATACATTCATTATACACATCTTCAAGCAATCCCTTTTTACAGAGTATCTATTTGTTGAGCTCCTTTGACTAGAGATTAGTTTTTTGTTTCGACTTAAATAAGTCATGCTAATGGCAAACCATTAGCGAAAATTTCGCTCGCACACTTACTCTTACGTGTATATGTGTGTGTGTGTGTGTGTGTGTGTGCGAGTGTGTGCGATAATTAAGTTGCATTTGTAACTGCCATTCGGTTGTGCATATGCAGTAATTTGATGTGTGCATGTGTGTTAGTAAATGTGTGTGCGAGACTTTTGCTAAATGAAAGAGAAATGCGATTTTGAAGGCTGTTGTTAAATATTTAAATGTATTCCACGGGCCAAGGCGATCTAACTATTCTTTACGATTATTGTTGTTGTTGTCGTTGTTGTTGCCACTGATTGCATAGCGGTTACATCAAAAGGCTAATTGCCAAGCTGAGCTACAAATGAAATTGCCTACAAAGCGCTAATGGCTTTCAAGGTGTTCGAGAAGCCTTGAAAGTGGATTTTGCCAAGGAGATTATATATATGTATAAGTATATGCCGATATACAGGTATATAAATGTAAAATCTAGCTATTTTCTGTTTTAGAACTTTCCTTATATTAGCATAAATAACAAAATTTTATTAAGCTAGAAAGCAATTAGTTCTTATAAGAAATAATATTATGAATTTTATACAGACAGATAAAGTCTTTGTCAATTATTTAGCAAATAAAAGTTAAGTTTAAATAATCGCAGTGAAAAGAGTAATATTTTCTTAATAATTAATATTTTTTATTCTAAATTTATATTTATTTTAGCCAATGGCATGGAGAAAAGTCATGTAACTGTAATTTCTGGTTCATAAATTTCTACATAACAGTTCTCATAATTATATTTGTTAGCTTTGCTTATTTTTTATAATACAAAATTTAGAATTCAATAAATGCAAATGTTTCTTCACTGTAGGGAATTGCATTCGCTTATATTTCGCAATATTAATATTTTGTAAATTGCCCAATAAAAGCAACTATTTATTGATACAGCTTAATGCTAACAATATAATTTGAATGTTTGCAAATTGTTTGTAGATTTGAAGAGCTTGATAATCTGATAATCAAATAAAGATTACTTGTTGTTAAGCCTAGTAGACAGCGTCAACCTAAGCACGTTCATTCAAGAGAGGATTCAAAATCTTATGTGTTATATATATACAAATTGAGCAAAACTTACAGCTTACATTCATTTGCTTACATTAATTAATTAACTTCTTTTTCTTTTTTTTTTTTTTTTTTTGATTGCATATGAAAATCCTGGCAGCTAGCAAAATGGCCGTGACAACAATGTGAACGTATGCACTTAATATTTCACTTTAATTTACCTTTTAATTGAGCTAATCAACACGCTAATAGCTGCTGCTATTAACACACACACACATTAAGAGAGAGAGGGAGGGAGAGAGAGGGAGAAAGAGTGAGAGAAAATTGAGACTGAGTGTGTTTCTGCCTACGACCATTTTGCAGGACATATTTTATTGTTATGAGTTTTGCAGTCGAGTCGAGTCGAGCCGAGTCAAGTGGTGCGACATTAAAGTGGGGCACGAAAATGTGGCTATTCAAGTGATGTGGTGTGGTGTGGTGTGGTATGGTGTGTGGTGTGTTGGTGTGTTGTGCACCGAGCTTGACTCGCTGCTGCTCGCTTTCAAAATTGCAGTTTAATGACTAATTTGGTTTTTGTCCAGGCCACGGCTGCTGCCAGTTGTCAGTCCAGCTGAATGTTGTCAATGCCCTGGCAATTAGCAGTGTGTGAGAGTGAGACGGCAACAACTGCCTCTCTCTCTCTCTCTAGCCTGTTAAACAACACTGGCTGTATAGCTTTTCTCTAACACACGCTAGGCAACTGTGTCTCTTTGTGAACGGAAGCGCACACTTGAGCAATGACGATACGACATTTCCTTAATGAAGCCAATCCAACTGCAAAAGTGTGTGTGTGTGTGTGTGTGTGTGTGTGTGTGTCTCTGTGACCTGCCTAATTGTGTGCTTAGACAATATCTACTAGGCAAATGTCTCACAGGCCGCTTGTCATAAAACTTTACGGCTGCAAACTAACTGAGCTCAGCATTTCGTGTCAACCAGGCCAACGTGGCGTATGCGTAATTATAATAAAATGCCTGCATATCAGCATATCAGCATGTCTGCACTGCTCTGCTCTCTGTCTGTCAAGCAACTGCATTCATTATCAGAGATCGACTCACCTGACACCAACAGCTCGCTGGTGCTGTTGACCAAATTGTCCATAATTGGCTGGAATGTGTAGAACGTGAGTGTTTCCAATTTGTTTGCCTGCACATTGATGGACAGCAGAGCCGGCGTGCCACGCAGCAAGCCGGTGTCAATTTTCTTCAGCAAATTATTGCGCAAATTCAACGTTTTCAAATTATTCAAACCGTCCAAGGCACGCTCCGAAATGCGCTGTAAGAATAAGAAGAGATTGAAAGAATGGAAATTAATACGGGTTATTGGTAAGTAATACGAAAATAATCATGTTTCATTATCATTTATAGTAAGTAAATCTACATCTTTGATTGCAAGGAATATACCCTGTAATAGGAATATCGAACTCTTGAATATATAATATTTATATCTCAAATCCGTCTTATAGATTACATTTTTTCATAATCTACTTCTTTGCATTTACGCATATATATTTCAGAAGCCAGAGTTTCAAATTAATTTGTCAGCATACAACGTTTTATTGTAATTCATATTTTTTTATAAAAAATCGTAGCTTTTGTTCCAATTTTTTTCGATTGGTATTTCAATATGATATTTAAGTCTCATGGGCATTTGTTAAAACATATATCCATATATAATTGTATTTATGCTATATCAACATTTTTGTTGCATGAACCACAATTCGTGCGATGTTTCGCTAACCACTCAGTCTCCCTCTCTTTCTGTTCCTACCTCTCCCATTCGCTCATCATTCTTTCCTATCTCTTTCTTTATTATTTTTTATGTTTTGCCTGGCCGACCGAGCATACAAACAAATATTTTCTGCCATTTTCCGCATTTTTACGTATTATTTTCAATGTTTTTATGTTTTTCTTTTCAATATTTTGCTTGTTTCTTTTTATTTTCAACATTTTTCCTCTCGTTGTCTCGTTTACCATTGTTGTGTTGTCTTTGTTGGCGTATTTATTTATGCATGTGTGTGTGTACGCATATAAAACATATGTAGATGCATATTTTTTTTTTCAACTGCTATGTTCCAATTCGTTTGCCTTGAATTTTATCATACGACAAAAAAAAGTGTTTATTTTCGTGAAAGGAAGCGCCAGCGAAAGTTGACTGTAGTACACAGCTTCTCTTTCTTCTGCTGTACTCCCGCCCTTTCTCTTTCTCTCTCTCTCTCTCTCTCTCTCTCCCTCTCTCTCGCTCTTTTTTCTGTCTCAGTTTCTATGGCTCGTCATTATTTAATATTCAATATGCTTTGCCTAGTGAAATGGATAAATTATGCATATTAAATGCGAGCAGTCCAAAGCGAGACATGTGCCGTTATTTATCCAACTTCCATACATTTGCCATTTCCCATTTCCACTTGCCTTACTCGCCAAAGACAAACAAATACATACGGATGAAGATACAGTCATATCATACGCTATCACATCGTATCAGAGCAGTTTGTTTGTTTGCCACGCTGATTGACATAAAAAAATGTTTTTTTATTGAGTTATTTTTGTTAGTTGATGGAAGGCACAATATTTTTTTTTTTTTTTTTTTTTTTATAAGGCGTCGCCGCCGCCATTTTATCGGCTTGTGTGAAAAAAATTATTATTTATGGCAATTTTGTACGTAAACAAAATTATGATTCCAAACAAACAGAAATTCGACGAGCAACATTTTACGTAAGCAGCGAGGCTGTGATAGGGCTTCGATAAGAAGTTTAAGTTTGGGATTGAAGTTCGTAGGTAAAAGAACAGTATAAAATACAATAAAAGAAGAACAAAATAGAATATGAGTACATCGTATATATGTATATGTATACATATATCTGTACCATAAAAGTATGCAAAAATTGCTAAAGCTGGATTTAATAACCTATAAGTCCAAGACTGATTCGTGATCATAACATTCTAGCTTTAGTATAAGCAGGAGCAGAAGTAGGAGCAGGAGCAGGGGCAGGAGCAGGGGCAGGAGCAGGAGCAGGAGCAGGAGCAGGAGCAGGAGCAGGAGCAGGGGCAGGAGCAAGGGCAGGAGTAGGGGCTTGCCTTTTTGGTACATTACCAAAGCATTTCCATCATCCCATTTACCTTAGTATGCAAATAAGCATTGTTTTAACTATTTTCAAAATACCTTTCAAATGGTTAATAATAGAGCCTTTTGTTTGCATTAAAGAGACGATTGCCTCTAGTGCGTAGCATATGTAAAATTGATAAGAAAATTTCAAACTGAAGTGCTGGGCGCAACACTTTTACTTTCGCATTGATGGGGCCCCTGAAAGCAGATGCTTAGCCGCTTAGCTGTTTATCTATTTATCTCTTTGAGGACTCGGTGACCGCTCAGTTGCTTAGCTTTTTATGTTGTGTCAGACAAAACCCAGGCACCTAAACCTTTTAACAGCAAATGATTTATGAAGTACACAGGCGCACACACACACTCACACATGGTTGGGAGAGAAAGAAAAATGAAATGGATAACCCAAGCAAAAACATGCAACGCAATTTGCTTTTATTGAAAAGGACAAGGCAAGACGGAAAGGCATTTTCTTTTCCTTTCCTTTACTTTTTCATTTTCAGTTTTTTTTTTTTTTTTCTTATTTTTTTGAAGGAAGCAAAACATATGCACAAGTATGGTATATGGATATGGTAGCAAATCTGAAGGAAGCCCGGCTCCAAAACAATGCGACACTGAGGCGATAACAAGGCCAATCATTATGACTATGACAATGCCCGATAAAGGAAGAAGCTAACAAGAAAACGAAGCCGCAGTTGGAGTGTAGATTGTCAGCATCAGCATCAGCATCAGCAGCAGTGCCTCGCATGAAGATGGCGGCCAAAAACACTTGAGCAACACTTGAGATGGTCTCTGCCAGAGTGTGTGTGCGTGTGTGCGTGTGTTTGTCCTACTGGCCTGACACATATGCGAGTTGTCTGGGTGTGACATGATATGCGAGCACTTTGTAAAATGGAAAAATGAAACACGCAGCAAAATGAAAAGCAAAGACGAGAAGACGACAATGTTGGCCAGGATATGCAGGATTTACGCTTATCGCTGTGCCCACGCTTCCACTCACACACACACACACACACACACACACAGAGGCAACCAGAGGACTTAGCACAGAGTATACGAAGCGACATTTTCTATTTACACACACACACACACACATATATACACATTGGCTGTGGCCATTTTTATGGCTGGATCCTTGCATATCAGATGGCCAAAAAGGAGTGCCATAAATCCATTATGCCATGATTTGTTATTCAATATTTTGTTAGTAGATTAACTTGCCTGCCGCACATTTGTTTGCCACCAAAGGCGCTGAAAGGATAATGCCACAGCGTGCGGCTAGCAAACAGGACGAGGACTATCTACGAATTAAGCTGTGTGGCCGCCTCGGCGAAAACATAATTTACCAATCTATTTATCATATTAGCGCCTATTCGGCAAACAGCGGGTGCTCGCGTGTGCCAAGTGGCATGCGGCATGTGGCATGTGGCAAGTGGAATCTGATACTTGAACTGCACCCCAGGCGAAGCTGTGCCCCACCAGCTCAGCTGACCACTTAAATCACCACAAAAATGGGCATTCGAATTGAATTTATGACACCCGACAACAAAGTTGTTTATGCACGCTCAACGCCCCCAAGGATGTGCTATTTATGATATACTGAATGCGCCCCAGCTCCAAAAACTTGTCCTTCGCTGTACACTTGACCTCTGTTCCTTATGGTCGGCCGGCAATTTATGGCCACTTAACTAAGCCATGGCATCAACTTGACCGAAAAAAAAAAAAAAACGTCCAAGTCGCACAAAGAGATTGCTGCAAATCAAGTTGCAAAGAAAATGATAAAAAAAATCGAATAAATAAAAATCTATATAGAATTATTTGATTGACCCACTGATTGAGTGTTCGATTGACTGTCTTTGATTATAAACATGAAACATGAGTTTGGTACATTAAATAAATAATGATATCTATGTATAGACAATGTGTTGTCTTCAATAATTGACTGACTGATGAAGGCAAGCAACAATTACTCTGCGATGTAATATGTTAGATATGTCAATCAGTGCAATCTATATATATATAATTTTTCACTCACCTCGATACGATTATCGTCCAGCTCCAGCTCAGTCAAGCTCCAGAGCTCAGCAAACACCGTGTCGCCAATAAAATTGAGATTATTGTGCGTCAACTTGAGCAGATTTAGATTGCCCAATCCGCGGAAGATCTCGCTGGTCAGTACATTGATCTGATTGTAGGCCAGATTCAGGTAGGTCAGCCGTGCCATGTCCGCGAAGAGTCCTTCGTGCAGAGTACTGATGTTGTTGTTGTTCAGGAAGAGACGCTCGCACAGCGGCAGATTGCGGAAAGCATAACGATCCATTTCAAAGATCTGATTGTGCTCCAGATTCAGTTCACGCAAGCGTATGTGATTGGCGAAGGCATCCTGATCGAGGGCCATAATGTGATTGTTGTTCAGAATGATGCGCTCGAGGAAGGGCAAATTGGCAAAGGCATAACTCTTGACGATCTCCACCTGGGAGTACTCGATGACGATGCTGCTCAGATTCTTCAGCGGCTCAATGATCATGGTGGGTATGTAGTCCAGGCGTGCATTGTTCTGGATGACGAACTTGAGCTCGCGCAGACGCTTCTGCTGATAGAAGCGCGTCCAGGTGGTATCATTCTGATGCAAGCCCTCCGAGAACACCCAGCACTCGGCCTTCTGCACGGGAATGTGATTCTCGTCCGGCGTGCAGTAGCACATGAGCTTCATATCACGTCGGCGCATACAAAAGCCGGTGGTATCGATGGGTCCGTTGTAGCCAGTGATGCCTGTCAAGGCGCTGCTGCCACTGCTGCTGCCATAGGCCGAGCTGCTAGTGTAGTAGCCGCCATTGTTATTGCCGGTCACGGCCGATGCGGAAGCAGAGGCGCCCAAATTGCTGTTACGTCCACGATTGCTGCGTCGCTCCTCCTTATCCCGCGAGCGTGCCTCAGCGGGCGCCACGAGGCAACTGCTCAAGAGCAGCAGCAAGCCCAGCAGCTTCCACATTCTGTGGCGCTGATGATGATGCGGCAACATTGCGAAAGCGGGCCGCGGGTTCTTCGCTCTTGGCTAAAATGAAACAAACAAAAGCCACGAATGACTCAGTCAATAAAATTTGTATATCTGGCGCCAAGTGGAGGCAGAGCCGGGCAGGTGGCCCAGCTACAATACAATAAAATGTGAACAGAGCTGAAATTGTTAACTAGAACAGCCGTCGCTATAGAGTGTGGGTATACAAGGGGTGTAATGGAAGACAGGATATATAGGTAATAAAATTTCTGAATGTCAGTCAAGCTTACTCACTTAATACTCTATAGCAATGAGAGGGTATATATACAGCTTAAAGTTTTCTCGTTTATCGATCAAAAAAATCATATTCTTATCCAAAGACAAGTATACAATAAATATGAAATATTAAGTTGGCTTGGTAAGTAGACTTGGTACAGAATATATAGGTGGATTATATTATGAATATTAGGAAATTATCTCTCCATTTCTATTGTTCTCAGACTATTTTTTCCGTCTCTCTCTCTCTCTCTCTCTGGTTTTTTTTATTTTTATTTTATTTTTTTTTTTTAACACTTCAAATATTTCTTCAGGGTTTTTTGATCTGTTGACTGACTAGGAAAAATACCGAAGAAATCTTTTAAAACTTTCTACAATTTTTCCGATAAACGTTATTATATATTCCACATTTTGCCGCATCTATCATCAAGTTTACTCCCATTCGAAATATCTTCTAATCGTATACTCTTCACTTGTCCTCTTCAACAAAGTTTTGCATCATAAGCATTTGATTCGCTCTCGCGCACATCCGCTCAAAACTATCAAAATCTATATACGCTCATTTACCCACATAGTATCTTCTAGTTTTACACCCTCTCTCTACTTCCTTTATGTGCTCAACCTGCCAAAGCCATTAAATACTGTTTGCTCTCGATATTATTGCGTCCATTTGGTGCGCACACTAAAAACTTTGAATTGCCAAACATCAAAAATTTGATGCCACATTAAAAGCGTAAATTCTGGACAAACACGTCGTTCGGCATTCGCATTCAGGGTGTGGCATTGCGTCGTCTCGAATTTCATTTATTACACTGAAAAGTGAGGCGGCTTTCAATTTATTGTGCTCAGACCCCTTTCGGTGCTGCTTAAAAGTTAAAGCGCTCCATAAAAATGCTAATTAATGTTGTTAACTTTTTACTTTTCGCTCGTATTTCATTTCGCATTTTGTCTACGTCTCTTTTGCCCGCTCTTTCGCTCTCTATCGCTATCTCTCTTCTTCTGCTTGCCTTTCTTTGATTTTCCGGCTTTTTCAATGAATGCCGACTGTGAAAAGTTCATGACAAGGCTGTTTTTCAGCTGCCTACCCGCTGGCTTCATTTGACGCTCTGCTGGCTCTGGGCACAGCCTTCTCCCACCCCACATAAACAAATTTATTGCGCTCATAAATAACTGCAACACTGTCGCTGATTGTTCGCTCAGTGGTGAACGGCTTCATGAAGTGCCCAGCGGCCATGAGCCGCCCCTTCCCCTCCCCCTTAGTCCTTAGTCAATTGCATTTTAAGTGTCATTTGGCAAAGTGCTCTCTAATTATGATCGTATTTTTAATAAATTAATAAGTCACATCTGACATTGTGCATATTTTTGGATGTGCCCGCTCCACCCCCCTCACCCTCTCGCTCTGTCTCTTGTTCTTTTCTCTCAGTGCCTGGGCATAATGAAGTGTAAATAAGTTATTGGCAGTTGTCAAGTGAGTCATCGTTATCGAAGCCTGGCAGCCAGGCAGCCAGGCAGGCAGGCATTGAGGCATTTCGCCAGTGATTTGCATAAAATATTGTCTTCACGCTTAAAATCAGTTAGTGGAAAGGGCCGTGGTCTTAGCTCCAAAAAGCTGAAAGCTGTATGCTGTTAGCTGTAAGCCGAAAGCTCACAGTCATTTGACTTATTGACTTTGGCATGCTTCATTACATTGATTATCGTTATAAATTTTAAATAAAATGATGATAAGTGTTTTGATTGTTGCTGCTGCGATGCCACGCTGTAACGCCGCTCAAGTTGGCTTAGCAACGAGACGTCCTGTGCAGAGTTCAAGGTTTCAGGCGTGGATTAACTGCTCAAGAGACAAGCAGCCGTAGCACTTGATGGCTTCAATTTAAATATCAAAGCAAAGTCACAAACTAAACTGACAAACACAACCACAAATGAGAAATCTAACACGATGTGAACAGTGACAGAGCGAGAGAGGGAGCGAGGGTGTGTGAGAGAGAGAGATAGAGCGAGACCTTTACGGTTCTATATCCTTCAAATTTTTAAGTGTGCTGTCAAGCAGCAAATCAAAAATACATATATGTATGTGTGCTCCGAAGCAAGTTGTGTGTGTAATTAGATTTTCACACACACACACACACACATACACACTCGAAAAGCAATTCATATGTGAATACATTGGCACTTTTGCAGTAGCAGCAGCAGCTGGAAATCGTCGCTGACAGCCACAGCCAATTACTCAAAGCTGCTATAGCTTTACAAGGAGTTGGGCGTGACTTAGGGCGTGTCAGCAAATGAAAAATCAATTTGTTGTTTATGCATAAATCATGTGATTTATGTGACTTCTAACAGCATTCATAAGTCATTTATCAACATTGCAGAAAAACTTTGCAAAACAAGCCAGACAATAACAATTGAGACACACTGTAAGCATAATAAATAGACGGAGCATACTTAAAACTCAAGTGAAAGTCAAGCAAATCAAATTTGTAACCAAAAGAATTCACAGACAGATATATATAGAGAGGTAGAGATACAGAGAGAGAGAGCCATGGAGCTGGAGCTATCTAACTTTTTGCCACAATCAAAATGTGTGTGTGTAGCAAGCACAATAAATATAACCTTGACGACAAACAGTTGTTGAAAATTCCAAATAAACATAAACACTAGACTGGGGAATACCCTGTAACTTGCCATGAGATATATGCAAAATTTTTGACCACAAAAATATATATACAGAAACGTTTGACTCATTGGAATGCTGGGAGTATAAACACAGAAATATTCTGTAATTCATTCATTCTAATAAAGCTCATCCACCACAGTTTTACTCCAACACCTATCTATAAATCTAACAAATACAGTTAGACAATTCTATCCACAATAATAGTCTACCCATTTCAAAACTGTCCACAATATAATTTCAACTGCTGCAGGGTATAATTATCCTGCAGGCATTGAAAGCAAAAGCAGAGCACATGGCTCCTTCTTCCCATTTCTTTAGCTGCCCTGCAAAGTGGGCCAAATTGCAACAAGAAGCCATTTGTCTTCTTGTTTATAATTTCGATTAAACTTTCTGTGTAAGAGGCGCACACAGACACGCACACACACACACACACAGAAGTAGACACATATTTTTCAAGTGTGTGTGAAGGGGGTCTCCTGCCGCCCCTGCTGAAGTGCGATAGAGAACTTGTTGACGTCGACCCACTAGGAAATTGGAGCAAAGCCGCAGCTAAGTTGTCAGCTCAGCCCAAAAGGGAGCCCTGACTGCAGTGGCAGCAGCAGCAGCGACAGCAGGGGCAGCAGCAGCGGCAACAGCAGCAGCAGCGGCGGCAGCATATAAATTGTTGCTTGAATGGAAATTTCTTCACTTTAACGTTTGGCAGTTCTTTTGCAATAGCTCGCAGTGCTGTGCCTCACAGCAAAGTTTGCTTATCAGGCCACATCGCCTATATATATATATATATATATATATATATATATATGCTGTTCGAGTGAGTGTGAAATGAAGCTGTGCGAGTAGCTGCTGATGAAGACAATGGCAAGCCCGAGAGTCTGGCAAAAATCTGATCCCGTTGGCGGCTGCTGCTCCTGCTCCTGCTGCTGCTGGAAATTGTTTTCAATTTTCGTTATTTGACAAATGGTGACACTTCCGCTGTGGCAGAGCCCGTGCACACCAGCAGGACTTTAACAATATGTCTGTCGCAGTTGGGGGCGCGCGCGTGTGTCTGCGTGAGGTTTTGTCAACAATAAGTTTATACGTCAGAGGAGTCGTTGTTGTTTATGACATGGCATGGCATCCAACCCACCCACCGAGCCACCCAGCAAGCCGAGCGACTGCTCATCATTGCTCGTCAGCGCTCACATTATGAGTAGCTACATCCTGTGTCTGCCGGCCCGCATGTGAATAACTTTAAGCTGTGACATGGCACACATGTATATGCTGCTCATCCTGGCCCTGGCCAGCGGACGTGCTTGACTTTGACTGAATGCTCAGCGCTGGGCTGGCCGTAACCGGGCCGGACTGCTGACAAGTCAGTAGCCGTCGTCTACTTTATTTGGCCGCAAATAAAAAGGGACAAACGACACGTCGGACAGTTGGCGGCATTCCATATAAACCAAAGTGCAGTCATGCCTCGATCCAAAAGTCCGAGGACTCTGACAAATGGCACTGGTGAGGGCCAAAGTGCCCTACAAAGCGAAGTGGCCATCAATCAAACGAGTTATGACATTCGCACGTAGCTCGCTCACTTTGTCTGTCTTCATCTGTTCTATTCTGTTTGTGCTTTTTTTTTATCACTTATATTTATATACATATATATTATTCTTATTGAAATGTTACATTTGATTTGCTTAGTTGAGCGTCTCAGCTTGATTTGTTTGCGAATGGATTGTCACCTGTCAACGACACATTGAGTCATCGACTGCTGCAGTTAGATTAAAAAAGAGTTTAAATCTGTCAAAAGGAGTGGAAAGATAAGTGAATGTCTTGAGTATGTATAGAAGAGAGAATAGACGAAAAGTAAATCGGAATATTTATTGTACTGAAACAGTTCATTTTCTGAATTATTGTCATCTGATAAAAAAAACTTTTCAAAATCTAACAGAGAGAGTTTAAAACCATTTGAAATTCTGAATGAATTTTTAAATAATATTAGTTTTTAAGGACAGTAGTTATAGTATAAAAGTAGGTCTGTTATGGCAACATAAATAATATAAAGAAATGGCACTAACCTAGATTTCGTTCTTTTCATCTATTCACATCTTCTATTCTCATATTTTTCATAACCTTATATACTTACTACCCCTCACTTTATTTACTTTCTATCAACTTGCTAGAAAATATTGTAATTTTACGCAATTTCTTTGCTTTTGTGCAATTTCTGTTAAGTTTTATAACTCGTTTCTTCTTGCTTTTCTTTTATCCTCTCATATTTTATATTATTTTTATCACATACTCTGCTCTCAATCTTTCTTTCTCGCTCTCTGTCCAACTCTTTCTTTCATTTTCTCTCTCTCTGGCTCTCTCCCTCTTTCTCTCTCTCTCTCTTTCTCTCTCTCTCTCTCTTTAATCTTGTGTTCCCAAAACTTCTTTAAATTTTCTTTTCAAATCTGTCATTTCTCTTCTGATACTTTCTTTTTTTGTCCTCTCTTGGTATTTGATCTTCTTACATTTTCATTTTCTCTTCTCTAAGCTCTCACTTCCTGTCACTTCCCTAAGTTTTCTCCTTTTCTCCCCTCTCGTACTCTTTTCTGCGTTTCCTCCTATTATCTAATATCTTGCTTCCTTCTCTGACGTTTCTGTTCTAAGTCTCTTCTTATCCCTTCTTCACACGCTTCATTCCACCTTCTACACATTTCACCTTTTCTGCTTCCCGCCCACCTCTTCCTCACTCATTACTTTACTAATATGGTATATCAGGCAATGAGAGCACAACTAAAATAAACTCACTAAAAACTTTTGGTACACTTTAACCCTTCTGCGTGCCATGCCATAAATGGCATCGCTCCACGCTCAGCGGGGCGTGATAATCAGCTGTGAATAAACTTTTAGTCATATTAGTTTTGTTATTTTTTTCCCCCATCTCCTTTATTTATTGTCAGCCATGTCGCACTCTATAAATATATATATATATATATATATATATATGCGTATATATGCATATTAAATTGCTTGCCATTTGAATGTGACATTTCGACTGTCATTTGTGAACCCTTTCGCCGTTTCATTTATTATTATCATACGAAAAAGTCATTGCCAGCTGTCGCAGCAAATCATACACATACATACATACACTATATACTACTATGTGCTCCTGTTGTCAACGAAAAGCTGAGCTATGCCAAAATCTACAAGTCCCTGCGAGTGTCTCTCCTTGCTCTTGCAGTTCCTGTTGGTTTTTCTACTCTGCGCACTTTTGACTACTTTGCAGTTGAGTTCCTAGTCACCCCACCCTCGCCCATGTTCTTGCCCTCCCTCCATCCTCATTCTAGTTACGTTCTTCTTCCACTTTTGGCTTTTAGCGTACCTGTCAGCAAAATAAAATGAAAAGTAGTTCTCAGTGGAAACTTTCGCTCATCGTCGCCAGCCGCCATATTGTTGACACATATTTTCGTTGCAAAACTTATATACATATATATATGCAAGCGCCCAGCCACGCCCACAAACTGCAAAAAAAGAACAGAACAGAAACGCCCCACTGCACTTGAGCCAAGCAGCCAGCCCCATTACTTTTGGCTGTCAGTTTTTTTTTTTTTTTTTTTTTTTTCACTTAGAATTCGTAGCTTGGCTTTTATTTGCCTTTTTTTTTGCGTTTTGCATTTTGCTGGTTTCCTCTCAAGTGCAGCGCTTTAACTTTTGATGCACAATTTGTTTGCTCGCCTCGATTTTATTTAAGCCAACTGGCAACTGTTTAATGCTCAAATTGGCAGCACCTGGGCCAAACTGTTGGCGGCTGACTCCAGCTGACTGTCCCCGGTAGATAAGTAGACCTGAGTTTGCCTTTGGCTCTTGCCTTTGCATTGGCCATACTTTAGCTATTGCAGTTTGTTATGAAAAGGGTATTATGGGGGACTTTTATATATCATATATTTATTTATTTATGTGTAATATAGTTATATATAGTTGTTATAGAAATCGAACTCAGTTGTAAATATATATATATACATAGGATAATCATCAGAATTATAGCTATACCTATCACTATAATAATAGTAAGAGTTATTAGCTCAGCATCTAATAGGTCTCTCAGTTTTTCTTGGTCAATCATAGGGTATTTGGTAACATTTTCATGAAAGCCATTGAAATTTGTAATTTTTGTTGTTTTTTCTTCTTCTTCTTCTGTTTGAAACCATTTTGTTGTTTGACTAAGTTGCCTTCACCTTTTTGTTGACACGCAACGAGTGGAATGAGAAAAATGCAGATAGAATCAAAGTGAGAGAAGAAAGAGAGGAAGCGAGAGAGAGGTAGAGAGACGAGAAGCGAGCCAAGGAATGCAGGTGTGAGAGAGGCAAGCGAAAAATTATTATTTTCACCGTCGACTGCAAGTTTCTTGCAACTTTCTGAGGAAAAGTGAAAATTTGTCATGCTCGTTGAGCAGCTTGGCTAAGTATGTGTCTTGCTTTATCCGCTGCTGCTGTCTGATATAATAAATTTCTTCAGTTTAGCTCAAATGCTCATGAAGACAAACATAAAACCGAAAATATAAACACAAACACAAGCACAAACACTACAAACATAAATACAGACCAATGAGCCCAACGGGCGCTGCGGCGGACGGGCGGTCGGACGGACGGGCTGGTGAGAGAATTTTATGTCGAAAATGAGTCGTCGTCGTCGTCTGGGCACAAACTTTTAACTCAACTGTCAAATATTTTAACAATTTTGCATAAAACATTATGAAGATGCCAAAAGGCGTAGGCAATGCCCGTCGCTCCCCCTCGCAACTCCCCACACCCCATATTCGCATAGCCTACTCTATCGCACATGTCTGAGCTGATGATTTTGAAAGTGAATTTGAAATGAGCTCAACTCGGCTTTAAGTCTATGGTTAACTGTAGTATCTGCCGCTTTATTCAAAGTAGCGGTTTACGCAAGGACTGTTTTTGCTTGTCTCATGGATACATCTCTTTCACTCTGCCTTTAATTAACTCTCTTTAGATTTATCTAGGTATACCTACGTTTATATTTTATTTACAATGTCTTTCGCATCGAAAATGGTATAAGGTTATCTCCCTCTCTTTGCATGTTTCTATGAATCTGTTTTCTATCTCTCTTTCTCCCCGTCTGTCTGTCACAATCTGTCCCTATATCTCTTTCTTTCTCTCTGTCTGTCTATCTTGCTTTTTATATGTCCCTCTCTATATATGCTTCCCTCTCTCTCTCTCTCTCTCTTTCTCGGTCTCTCTCTTTTCTTTGTATTTTTGTTCTTCTCTCATACTAGTCTACATTTCTCTTAGTTGTTCTTTCATTTTCTGTCTATTTCTGTCATTATCTCTCCTACTCTATCTCTCTCTCTCTCCTCTCTCTCGTACTCCCTCTTTCTTGTTCTTTGTCTGTCTGTCTATTTTTCTCCATATTCCATACGTCATAGTGCATGACTTTCACTCTTTGTTTCTGTCTTTCTCTTCCTTACCTCTGCTTTAATTTAAGTCTACCTTTCATCTCTTTACCACTTAATTAACTAAGTCCTTAAAGTTTTCCATTTAGTACATTCCATTGTTTGCTCTCACACTTGTACACATATACATACATACATATATCTGTATATATCTCAGACTATTTGCTCTTCTGTCTTGCTCACCTTTTGATTAAGTGTATAAAAAGGGCCGCGTCACGTACGGTCCTCTGTAAAGCAGTAAATTTTTTCCGCTGACTAATGCGCTGCTCTGTAAGGAAACAAAAAAGTAAAAAGTAAAAGATAAACATGAATTAATGTGATAAATTCAGCTGTATATACAGTCATATATATTTATGTACATATGTAGATATTCATACTCTTATAGGATAATCAAATAAGTACGACAAATTATTTGAGCTTTGTAGATTATGTTAAGCTCCGCCTAAAGTTAGCTTTAAGCTCCAAGTACTCAGCCATAAATAGTTCCATTAGGTAATACAAAACTTTGGGTTTGTCTATGCTGACTACTTTAATCTCATATCTCATTTGGTAGATAATAATATTATTAGTCGCATTGTCAGCTGTGGTTGGTTTTTTGAGGGTGGAGGGCGTGGTCAGGTGAGTTGTGTTTGCGTACAGCACAAATCTAATTGCGTTAATTTCCAGGTAATTGTAGCCCATGGCCAGTTGTTAGACGCGCCGAAACGGTGACCCAGGACATGCGACTACGTAAAAACTATTAACACGCAGCTGAGCAGAGCCGAGCACCCACATGTGGGCGTCGACTGGGGGGGTGTATGCATGGGCGTGGGCCATTGCGCGTTATTCAAATAGTTTTTATTTACCACGCGCCGCTCATTGCTTACTGCGTGTCCATTGTCCACAAGTCGGACGACAACGACAACGACAACGACGATGACGAGTGGTGGAAGCAATTCCCTAGCCTGAACTTAATTGTCACGGTCCACACACACAAACACACACACACAACATTCTCTTGTTGTGTTTGTGGCATAAAAAGAAATAATTGCATTTGCTGCGCCTACAAAAAAAAAAAAGTCGAAAAGCACAAGCACATGACAGAACAATCACACACACACGTGATACGCACACACACATACACAGACCTACACCCATACACTCGCATACACCAACAGCCTTCTCACACCTACTTAGAAGTTATACTACTTCCATTCGAATTACTTGTTTAGAAGTCGCCAGACGCGGAATACGATTTTTTACACTGAGCAAAAATGCGTGTCTTTCTTAAATATCTCCAGAACAGAGAAAATTATACATTATTATATTCAAAACAATTTCTTTATATTTTCCTAATCGTAAAAAATCATCATAAATCAAAATTTTCACTCTTTGCAAGCAATTCAACAAAACTTCTCTCAGTGTACTTGGCACGTCATGTTGTTTTGGTTTTTTCTTTTGCCTTGTCGGCAATTGTAATCGTTTGGCTATCGCCCACATCATGTTTAGTTTTTTTTACCCATTGTTGTTAATTATGCCCGCATTATTTGAACAGAACTAACTCTGACTTCGGTGCGGAGTTGGAATTTTATAAGCATTATGTTTATATTGATGTAGGCACAAAAAATACACTGGGGATTGGCCCCAACTCGCCTCCTATTCTCTCTAATAGTTGACTCTATTGCCGTATCGTGGCATTCAAATCTAACTGATTACTGGGACCCCACTATGCCTCATTATCCCCACTATCCCCACTAAATGTCAAACAACTCCAAAGCGCGGCGGCTGCTAAGGGCAACCGACAGAAATGTGAACCAAAGCTCAAAATCCATGACAATTTACTATCAAGTGGGCACGACATGTATATATAGTAATAAGAATGAGCAGTTATATAGTTTGAGATTGATAGACTAGATGATACTCATTAAGTGAGAAACTAGAGTCACTTTATCTGAAAACAGTTTTGGCATTTGAGAATAGAGGTATTCGATAGCCAATTCTAAGTCATAAACTATAGATATCAATGCAAAGACAGACTAGCAGCTACCCTTTAGATTATTAATGAAAGCAAAGTCGAGACTTATCTTTTCTATTCAAGATTTAAGTAGTTCCCATTTGCTGACAAATACTAACGAAACGATTCTAAAAACTAGTTTCAAACATGCTTCATAAGTTAGTGGTATATCGATATATATCGATTACACATAAATCTAAAACAGACAGCTAAACATTAGATGAGCTCATGAATTCTCAAAGACACTCACATAAACAAAAACAATATAATTTTCTACCTACCCCATATTACTTTGTACAGGGTACTATAATATTGCAGTTAGGCAACCCATTTTCCATGGTAGCAAACGTTAGGAGTGCTATGCTGTCGCAGCTCAAAGCTATGCCCTCCTCCCTTGAGATTTAATCTCTTATTTGCAAGTGAATAAAGAAGAGAACTTCAAGCTTCAAGAAGTTTTACGAAAATTGCAGCAAAACGTTTCCATTTCATGTGCGGCAATAAAAATTTAATATAATTACGCACAATTTCCAGTTGAAGTTTATGTGAAGCACAGACACACACACACACACACACACGCACTCAGACAAGCAGGGAGTAGGAGAGACACTTATGCATTGCCAGGAGCAGGACTTGATGTGACTTTTGACAGCGTTAGGGTCCTTTCGCCATTCGCCTTTCGCCTTTCTCCTAGCCAAGACAAACATAAACACTTGCGAGTGGAAGGAGGATTTCCCAGGGTATCCGCAGTGGAGGTTGCAGCTGATTTCATAAAGTGTAACAAGCCAAAGCTTTGAGCTCAACGGCTGCGACAAATAAGCGACAGACACAGGACCCTGGGCAAGGGGGCTGAGGGGCAAACCTCGAAGCTGCCTGCAAGTCGACAATAAAGCGTTGCGGAAAAGTTTACAAATTGCCGCCAGGGCGGAGGATGCCACCAAAGAGAAAGGGGGCGGGGACAAGTGTTGTGGCTGCTACACAGACAAGCACACACAAACACAAACATACGCACACACAGGCTGGATACCGGGAATACATCGCATATCGCCAGTTAAATATTTGTTATATCCTGTAATGAGTGTCTTCAAAAAGTTTATGCAGCAGAAGGCCTACGAGAGAACATGTGAATTATCAATATACTAGAAGTAATATTTCCCCTAGCTACATTATATAAGTACTTATGCCATTCTCAACTTGATCGAGAATGATATTTATCAGACAGCTTGTCACGCTCTATAAATTTAACAAGTTTAACAGGGTATCTCCTAGTCTGACACATCTGAGGCACGCTCAGTTGCTTCTGCTGCGCTTGTTTACATTGAAAGCCCCAAAGCAAAGTCGACAGCGAGCTCCAGTGAATCTGTCGTACATTTTGCTCCACACACTTGCCCTTAGCGTAGTTGTTATTTCTTAATATTGAGTACGGCTACTCGGTCAGCAGCGCTGCCAGCTTCTCTGCTGCTCTGCCAGCGCAACCAATGCTAAAAGCCTCTGCTAGAAGCTAGAAGTCTGTTAGCAACCACTGCTAACAGCATCTGCTAACATACTCTGCTAACAACCAATGCTAGCAACCACTGTTAGCAGCCTCTGCCTGCAGCCTCTGCCAGCACCTCTGCCAGCAACATCTGCCAACAGCGTTTGCTGGCAGCGGGCATATGTCATTCGACTTAACCTTTGACAGGCTCAGCTGCGGCTGCTCTTCCTTCCATCGACTCCAACCACCTGCCCACAAATTGAGTGGCTGCCAATGTAATCAGATCATTTGCTACGCTTCAGCAGGTAAGCTATAAACTTGTATTTGATTGGAAAAGAAAGCATGAAAAGTCTTTGTCGAAACGCATCTGGCGCTGTTTTAACAATTAAAATGCTGCTCAGCAGCTTAGCTGTTACATTACAGCTCACTAACACTTGTAATATAATTTGTGAAAAACTTTCACTTAAAAAAAAAATAAAATAGAAAGTTTTTTTTTCATGAATTGCGCACTTATCTCATATTAAAATTTTCGCATTTTCTTATTGGCAAGAAAATGTCAGTCGAACTGTTGTCAACAGTACGCGATCAATAAGAAAATTTCCTTTTGAGTAATTGGAGTCTGTTAGCCGGCATTAGCATGGCTATGCTAATTTATCCTTACAGCTGCAATTAGTCCAGTTGGAACAGTAAATCTAAAAGGAGTGAGTGAGTGCAACAAGTGTGTCAAAAATGTATATAAATATAATAGCTGGTGAATATAATGTGTATTAAATGTTATCATTAGGTGCAGATTATAAGCAACCTTGTTATTTGCTTTAATTTGGTAAGTTGTATGCCACACTTTATAAATTGCATGTAATTATTTTCTTGGCGCATTTTTTTGCTACTTTTGGCGGAAAAATGGCGAACATCTAGCTACATTTCTTTTTGAGTATTTTGTTAATTGGAATGTTGGCTTACATTATATATTATTATTTTTACAGTGTTTTCATTTCCGATTGGTGTGTTAAGTGCGACAGGGGAATGAGGAAAATATATACCGTTTATATGAAATCCTAGCCAGCTATGTTTTTGTTTTTTTTTTGGTAAGTTTTAGAAAATGTGATAATCTAATTTGCATTTTATTATGTAAATATTAATGTTGTTTTCTTTGTTTACAGTGCATCTGCAGTGTTTGTGTGAAATGCATATAATAAATATGAATAAATATAAATATTCAACGGAGAAGTTTTTTTTAAGTTAGGTAAGTCTATCCTGAAATGTATGCTAAATATATATACTTTTTTCTTTAAAATATTATTTGATTTATTTATCATGCTCTTCAACATTTGATATCTTTACAGTGCAAGTGCAGTAAATAGTGAATAATGTGCTAGAATACGAAGAAAAATAAAATATGGCTGTATTATCCTATATTTATGCAGCATAACATTAACATAACTTAGCAATGGTAAGTCTTATACTGTAAAGTTTACATAAATTCTTCTATGTTAAGCATGTGGCCAGTTGCTACGATCGCTAAAATACTATATACTAATTACTAATACTGCTTTATAAAACACTAAAGGTATAAAATGCTGAAAACTTAAACTAAAATCAGCAGTTGCTACTGCTCTTCCACTTTCATTTAAATTTTTTTTTTTTTTTTTTTCGATGGATGTGTCAATTGGCGCTAATGTAATTATGTAATAAAGCTGCGTTAATGGTTGAGGTGCAGCTGTTGCGGCAGTTGGCCTATTTCCTGCTCCAAAAAGAAAAAACGTTCAACAGCCGCTAAATTAATTAGCCAACAGCGCGGCAACAA